GGACGAGTATCTGTTCTCCTCCGTTCCCTCGTATCTTTCACCTAAACATCCTTATCTATCTGTGTGGTACACTCCGCGGCGAATCTCGACGCACAGTAGTCGAGAGTTCCTTCGCGCGCTCTTATCCTGAGATCAACTGAAATGATCGGACTGCGTGACTCTCAGCCTCAGGACGTCAATATTCAACTTGTCTCTTGTCAAGGGCCAACCTAGACACGTAATGGACTCCCACCTCCGAAAGGTGTAGAACAACCGCCAATCCTGCGCCTACCTCGTCCACTATGAACTTGTCGCTTAGCTTTCCGTATAGGCTTGCGGGCGTCGGGCGTCGGACGTCTGGCTTCGGCTCTGGCTTTGAACACCGAATCTACCGACTCCTAGTGACGAAGTTTCGAGGTTGAGTTGCCTCAAATGGCCGCTTTCCTGATGTCCCTTCGTATCCTCGGTTTTATGCCTCGGGGAGGTCAGTACGCACGGGAAGTAAGGTCAGGGGTAGAGTGGTCAAAGCAGCAGCGCTGTGAAGATTCCCGCGGTGGTCCGGGCCCTCTAAACGGCTACTAGACTACTCCTTCCCAGCCCTCAGCCCTCAGCCTCTGGCTCTAGACTCTCCATCGTCCCACCTTCCTTATCTCGAAACCAAGCCCCCTCCATTCCTCGACCCCGCCCCTCCCCCGAAATGCATCTAGAATCTAGAATCTCGAATCTGAATCACCCGAGCCACTCTTGACTTTTTTGGGGTTTAACCTTTGACTTTGAGTCTCGACCTCTCGTCGCTCGAGCTTCCTCGACAACCGTACCTTTTGACCAGATCTCAAGTCTGAGTCTCGGCCTCCCCAGTCTTTTTTCCAAGCGAAAGACGAGACGAGTCTAGTGCCTCGCAAATCCTTTCTGCTTGGGGGCTCGGCTTGATGTACATATGGAGCCACAGTTACTTTTGGACTTTGGCATCATCATCATCGAACATGAATCATCCTGGTCGGTCGATCCCCACGACGAGTTTCCCAGGGTCGGAAGATAGCCGGTTGTTCGGAATACTTTCCGACTCGGGGGAGGAAACATTTATGATCTTACGAAGAGTCAGGACCAAGCACCAAATCGCAAAAAACCAAGAAGATGCCAACGTGCGCCGATTTATTCGACCGTCGAGTCGTCATATACGCCGAGGCATTATGGCGTCCGCACTGCGCAGTCAGAGAAATAAACGAGGGTTCTTTCTATCGAGAGTTCCATCGGGGCACCGTGTGGGATCAATATCGCTCATGGCCATGACGAGACGAGACTCTTCGTTTCCATTTCTCTTGATTCCACCGCTCCCCGGGGGCGGTGACGCGTTCCCTCGTTATTATGCAGCCATTAAAACCAAGTCCCAGCTTGCTTACACACACCTTTTTTCGTCGTTCGCCCTGGATCCGGAGTCAGAACCGACCACGCTTACCCTTCTTTAGTTGCTCATCGCGGTTGGGGCTAAACCAATCTTACCCGCTTTGCTGTTTATACTCTGTTGAAAATTATGTATGTACCCCATCAAATCGACGGGATTCCCTCATTAATCGAACTCAGCTCTTCCTCTTCGTAGCTCGTAGGACATCTCATCACTTGCTTCTACAGCAACATCTCGTTGACGGTTGCTCAGTTGTTAATGTCCCCCCCCAACTCTCGAATCCTTGATTTGTGATCGTTGTGCAATGTGCCTGCCGCTACCGACTCGCCGTCGCTGAACGGTAAGCGCTAAGCACTCTTGGCCAATTCAGATGTGCTGATGTTTGATGTGTTGCTGTCTAGAGTCCTACGCCAGACGCAGACGCCGTCTCCTCTGCCCGAGCGTTCTATTCACTCGTCGCTGATGAACAAATGAACAGCTGGACTAGGACAGAGGGAGTCTAAAGTCATTACCTGTACATGTAGGTTCTGGTCTTGGCTAATGGAGTCAGAAGGGTTCCGGATTGAGGATGGTGGTGTCGGACCTCGCGATGATGGTGGTGTCTGGTGTCTGGTGTCTCCTGGTCTGAGTTTGACGCTCAAGATAGTGGTGGTGGTGGTGGGTGGTGACGCGGCCCCATGATGATGAGGGTACGGACGAACTCCGACTCTGTATGTATGGGGCTTACTTAGTAGCTTAATCTTTTCTCGCTCTAGTACATAGCTCGAGTCCCCACCTGGTGACTTGGGGGAGAGGATCGCTGTTGTTTAATCAGCAATTAGATTATTTTTTTCGCACCAACTCCACTCGGAGTGAAAGAGCTCCTTGGCTTTTTTTCTTGGACTATTCACTAGGGTTACTATGCATTTAGGGTCGCTAAAACGATATTAATGGGTAATGAGTTGTAACTTGTTCTTCGGGTTCGCTCGAGTCACCAGGGACAAGGCTCAAGGGGTCAAAAGTACGTGAAGTCGCCACAGACAATTCACAAATTCGTTCAAGGCGTTCAAATGAACGCCTTGACGCGCCAATGTTTCTTGACACACCACATACAAAGGAAAGGGGGAAGTCGAGGAATTTGCCGAGTCACTAGAACGTACCTGAGTTCAATAATCGGGAAATCGGAGGCGTTTCAGTGACCTTTGCGCACTGAATCCAGGCGGTGGTTAATTGGGGTTCCTCTGACGAGCTCCCCTTGCTGTACTCACAAATAGGTTTTTACACAACTCCACGATTGGGGGTAGCAATACACCGGCTTATCTCCTGTGTCGACGTCAATAATCAGTTTGTTCTCGAAGTCCCCGGCGCATGTTCAAGGGCCCTCGGCTTCGTTTCCAAGTAATCAGCTTCAGGACGAGCGACGGGTGTAGCCTTGCGAAACCTTCACGTTTCTGTAACTCAGTGGTAGCAACGAGTCTTTGTGCGTACTAGCATCACCTTGAAGCCCCGTGTTCGACCCACGCTGTGGAGCACTATTAAACAACGCTTTTCAATTGCCAGTGAGATATGTCTTCTATGCTCTCTTGACGCGCGACGCGTCTTGACACCACATACATACTCGGTAACAAAGGAAAAGGGGGGATCGAAGTCGAGGAATTTGCCGAAGTCAACTTCGACTAGCTAGGCTGCTTGATCGTAACTCGTAAGTAACCGATGTTTTCGTCCCAAGCTCGGTACCTGAGATCAATCAAACTGACTGTTCGAAACTGAGCGAGTTGGGGGGTTGACTAGTGACTAAGTGACCCCGGCAAGAGACCCAGACTCAGTGGCGCCGATTTAGGAGATTAAGGCGCTTTGCTCTTCGTCCGTATGAAGTCTGGCTTCGAGAGACTGCATCAGTCGGGCGCTTGAAGGCGCTAACGGTCAAGGGTGGGGATTAATTAGGGCTCTCTGGCAAGGCTTTGAGAGGGGGGGGTAATCTCAGCGCTAGCGCTCACAAATCACCCCTTTTGCTGAGAGTCAGGCTCCGCCGAGCGGGGGGTAGCAATAGACCGACTGTCTAGGCTTAATCTTCTGTCTTCTATGTGTCGACGTCAATATCGCAGACGACTACTAGTAGTAGTTTGGGTCTATTTCTTCAACGTCTTGATGCACCGGCGCATGTTCAAGGGGCCCCAAGGCTGACTCGCACGTCTGGTTTCGAGAATGAACAAGGAGATCGGCGGTTGGGGGTACTCCTGCAAAGCCTTCCGTCTTATTGACGTGCCCCCGTAACTCACTGGCAGTGGTAGAGTGTTGAGATTGCAATTCCTGAGATCATTTGCATCATCTCGAAGCCCGTGTTTAGCGGGGCACTATCACTTACATCCAACTGTAACGCGATATGTCGGCTTCTTTCCCCCCTCCCCCCCCTCTCCCTCTCTCCCTTCTTCAAATCATGGAACTCGGGGTCTACCAATCAACAAGCCCCTATTCCCAAAATCCCAAACTCCGATGCTTACGACTCCAATGTATCGAGAGAATGAATGACCTGCGGGCGATTTCCGACCTCTTTAGATTCAAAATCCTCTCTAGCTCGCTGAGTCCTCTGAGTCTGACATCTCAGCTAGATCCCCCAAGCCCAGCGCCCTCGAGCCTCCGAATACACGAAAGTAACATAGGGAATCATTCATATCTAACGCCAGCGGAAAGATGCCCTACCCATCTTGCGCCGGCGGCGGGTAGTAGTAATAAGCTAATTGTACACTCTTTTCAAGTCAAGCTCCTCCCAAGTCCTTTTTATCATTGCACTCCTCACAATCATACAGAAAACCCATCCACAACGTCGAACAAAACCTCCTCTCATCCTCCGAGTCGTCCTCATTCATTCAATCCAACCACCCAAGGGAGAGTAGAGAACGTTTCTCCCGTCTTTCCAGGGTCACCGTGAGCTATACGACGCTCCCAACTTAAGAAGGTTATTTACTGACAAGAATTAAGCCACACAGAGTGGCGGAGATAAAACCAGGACTGGGCAATGGTGCGAACATGGGACTTCAAGATACTGCAATTGATTACGACCATCATTGACCATGGACAAGGCCCAAGTACAGTGAACGCTTGACACGCGACGCGAGGAAAGGGGGACAAGTCGAGGAATTTGCCAAAGTCATTTTCGACTACTGGGTCGTAAGTAACCGATGTCTTCGTCTCAAGCTCGGTACCTGAGATCAATACAACTGACTGAGCGAGTTAGGGGGTTGACTAAGTGACTCCGACAAGAGACCCAGACTCAGTGGCGCATCAATTTGGGAGATCAAGGCGGCTTCGCTCTTCGTCCGTATGAAGTCTGGCTTCGAGAAATTACATTGCAATGGCTCCATTTCAGTCGGGCGCTCGAAGGCGTTAATGGTCCATTGGCAAGGCTTCGAAAGGGGGAGTAATCTCTGCGCTAGCGCTCACAAATGACCCCCTTTTGCTGAGAGTCAGACTCCGCCGAGCGGGGGTAGCAACACACCGACTGACTAGACTCAATCTTCCTGTCTTCTGTGTGTCGACGTCAATATCGCAGACGACTAGTTTGGGACTATTTCTTCAACGTCTTGAGGCACCGGCGCATGTTCAAGGGTATCGACGGCTTACCTTTTCCTTCCTGTCAATGGTGCCCGTAACTCAGTGGTAGAGTGTGAGATTGCAATCGTTGGCAGTCCTTCTTCAATGTTGCATTAATCTTGAAGCCCCGTGTTCGACCCACGGCGGGCACTTGGAAGGAAGTAAGCTTTTTTTTTTAATTCCTCCTTTTACTTTTTGTTCATGATACTCGTTTTTTTCGACCAACAAAGTAAGGAATAGCCATGTATAACTGACCGTTTGACTAATGATTTCCAATCACTGCCCACAACCTTTGAGTCAGATTCAGAGTCCCAGGAGATACACACTCCGAGTTCAACGCGAGAAGTTGGAACGTACGCTTGAGTCGGATCGATGAGGGTGAGAGAAGTTGAGTACGGATACTCCAACCAAAAAACCCAAAACGTCTTATCGTCTCTTAGATCTTAGGTTCCACATCGTCGGCGTATGCATCGGGACCGTGTTCCCCTTTCAAGCTTCCGATGGGGAATAGGGGCCTACCAGTCAGTTTGACTTGAGCTTTGGGGGAAAGAACAGATGAGATGAGAAAAGACAAACACAAAGCCACACACATCTGAGAGTGGCGGAAGGGGGGAAAAAAAACCATTGATTAAGTTGGCTATAGTGCCCGCCGTGGGTCGAACACGGGGCTTCAAGATTATTGCAATGTATCCAGTGAAGACGTGATTGCAATCTCACACTCTACCACTGAGTTACGGGCACGTTGATAACTTAGTCGCACAAGACGGAACTAGTGATTCAATTGCGATTGCGATTGCGAATGCTATGCGCTATGCGTACGTATACAACGAGTTGAGTGGATGAGTGGATGATGATGATGATGATGGTGACTATGACTATCAACAAAAACAAAAAAAATATGCAAGTACGAATAAGTAAAGTAAGGAAGCGACGACACTACAACCGAAGAGAAGGGAAATGAGGAGAGGGGGGAGGAGGGGGAGGGTATCCTTTTGCGTACGTATTACACAACCAAAGAATCAAAGAAAAAGAAAAGAAACCAAAGTCCAGGTGAATCTACCGATGATGATGCGCGCTAACCTTCTCAACACCCGCACCCCTACACGTCTTCCTCAACTCTTCCTGCTCCTCCTCATCTTCCTCCTCATCTTCCTCCTCCTCATCCTCCTCGTCACGGTCAGAATAATCCTCCTCATCAGACCCCGAAGATGACGACGATTCTGACGGTGGCGTCGCCACCACCGGCTCCTCCTTGTCCTTGGTCACGGGGGCAGGTCCCACCGATTCTCCTTCTGTAGCACCACCAACAGCCTCGACAGCACCCATGTCAGGTGGAGTGATTTGAACTTGGAGAGAACTCTTCCTCGAATGACTGTGATGATGATGTGGTCTCGGAGCGGGGACGTTGACAGCTCTCACGTGTTCTTCTTGCGAATCCGTCCTCGCCATCTGCTGTGTCGAGGGAGGGGGAGGAGGAGGAGACTGGGCCTGTGCCTGCGCTTGTGTCGGTGTAGAAGGATTCGAAGCAGAAGGACTCTTCGTATGTGTCGGTCTCTCCTGTGTTGTCTGCGTCTCCGGCGTCGGCGTACTCTCCCCACCCCCACCTTCCTCCTTCGCCTCCCTCTCCGCCTTCTCCCTCGCCTCCCTCTCCCTCTGCTCCTTCCTCCTCTTCACCCACGCCATCCCACCACCATCATCCTCACCCTCATCATCATCCCCCCCAGCAGCAAGTCTCCCCCAAACCTTCCCCCCAACCCCATCCTTCTGATGCTTAACACTGCCCATCCCTCCATACCCCCACTCCACAAACTCGGGTTCCTCCCGATCGTCGTCCGATTTGATGTTGGCAAAGTGGTTCGTCTGAGAGGGAAGCCCTTTGCTGTTTCGTTTGGCTCCGTAGACTCTGCCGTTTAACATCTTGGTGCCGGTTCGGGTGCTGTTGTTGTCGCCGCCGTGGAGGGATGAGAGGAGGCCGGAGGCGCGGGCTTGTTCTGCTAGGCGTTTGGATTTCTACAAGCCAAATAGGATTAGCAACGATGAGAGGGGAAAGAGGAAGAAGGAGGGGAGGCTCACCTTATAACTCTGCGTACTCTGCGTCCTATAAAGTGGCGTCCCAAACCCATACCCTTTACTAGGCGGCACGAATCGTTCACTCTTCGACGAGCTTCCCGACGTCCACCTCGACAATGCATTGCTCAGCCCAGATCCATCGACGGATTGGGGTCGTTTACCCCCAGATTTGCGTGAGGTAGGGGGTTCGCGGGAAGAGGGACGGAAGAGGCCACTGCCAAAGTTGAGTTGAAGGTTCGTCGATGTGGGTTTGTAGAACGCTGGGGATTGTTGTCCCTGCGTCTGTGATGTGGTGGTGGGTGTGGCAATGATGGTAGTGGTTTCGTTCGACTGAGTGGGGGTCAACGTATGTATACTGCTCGAACTCGACGATGCGGACGATAAAGTGTCATAACCCGGGTTTGGACTCGAATCGGGGGAAGATGCCGGTGATGTCGAGGAGGAGGAGTGGTGTGCCAAGGATTTGAATAACGACGTCAGCGACCGTCTCGAGCTCTTCTTCTGCGACGAGTATGCTGACGCTGACGGTGGGGGGAGGGGAGAAACAGTGACCACAGGCGTAGGAGGCGCACTCTGTACACCGATGATAGCCAGACTCAACGACTCTGGTATACACGCCAAAGGAATAGGAATAGGTATCACGCTCGCCGCCGCTGCTTTTTCGTCGTATTCGTCCACCTCATATTCCACCGGGAGCGGGTGTTCTTTTCCATCGTCCGTCAGAATGACTGAACGTCGGGGGTCGGGGAGAGGTGCAAAACGGATTCGTTTCGAATGTGTTGTCATCTGGGTTTTGGGTTGTGGGTTTGGGTTAGGGAGAGAAAAAAATAAAGGGATAGCGAGGGTGCTGGGTCATATAAGTATCAACTGATGTAATACACCCTGGATCTTAGATCAAAATCACGATGCGATCTCGCTCCATTGTCCTTTTTCATCATACTCCTTTTGGGTATTTCTTTTTTTGGTAGTTGCTTTGTATGGTAATTGCCTCTTTCTCTCATTGGTACACCCCCTTCACAAACAACACGCTTCGTTCTCGTTCTCGCTCTACATCAACACCCTCGCGTTCACCACACCACACGAGTCGTAATCCGTTCTACCTTTCCCGCAAAACCATTCAAAAAAATCAAACCTATAAATTATAATACCAACCACTTTCGACGTTTTGTCTGAATCTCTTTTTCCCTTCCCTCCCCCGCGTCCGTCCGCCCTGGGGTACTGATACCCTCCTTCCACCGCCACACTCTGCTCTCCTTTCATCAAGAAGGAAGGACGTTAATCACTTTAACCAGGAGCCAGGAGTCAGAAGGGTCGGAATGTGGGTGTAGGTGGATCCTACAACAAAACCTCAGTTGTTCGTGGTGCGTTTCATTATACTTTCACCTCTTTTCCAAACAACCACTTCTTTGACTCCCAATAAAACGACCGCCCACACATCTACCCACCCCATTTTTTCGTTCGTTATTCCGCACATACACTTTGCGCTTTACGCATCTAGATTCAGACCCGCAAGCCCATTGCCGTTTTACCTTATAAACTACCACCACAACACAGAATTTTTGCCCGCGTCCGTCCGCCCGTTCATCTTCTCGACATCACATTCAAAATCCAATATCGCGTTCGAGTTTCAAAAGAATATCTACTTCCTCGTTCAGTTCAGTTCATCATGAAACCGGGTGTCGATCCCCTGCAAAGTTTCAATTTTCAAGTTATCTCCTCGCTACGGTAAGATACGACAACCTCGGTCTCGGAATGTTGCCACTGGTGGGCGTTGGTAGGTGCATTCTTTTGAGCTCAAGGACAGAGGTTTCAACGTTCAGCACCTCCCTTTTCTTGAATTTCCTCTTCCTCCGCTTCCCATCGTCATCGCTGCATCCTCTCTCTCTTTCTATCTCCCCCTCCCCCCTCCCCTCTCTCTTACACCACACCACACTATCCGCCTATCCGCACACCCACTTTCCGACGCCTACGCCTCGAGGTGTAAGGTGCAAGGTGTAGTTCCAATGAGCTTTGACCTTCGTGCGCGTCCGTCCGCCCACGCCCATAGATGTGTTAGGGTGATACGCATACGCAAAGAATCTTCAATCTGGAGATTGGATGACAGGTGGTCGTTCCTAGGTATGGTGTACGAGGTTAATCCCCCCCCCCCCCCTCAGGTACGGCGACAAAAACAAAAATCGGGTTGTGGATGCATGTAGGTGCGCACTTCAACCCTTTCTTTCTTTCTTCCTTTCTTCCCCCCTCGTTCTCATTCGCCCGAGCGTACCCGTCTGTTTCTCATTTCTCGTTTGTATTCGTTATTTCTTGGCATGCACTACACCATACCACAGAGGACGCATAACGCATACGCATACGCACACCCATCCGTCAAAATTGAAATCTTCCTCCTCTTTTCTCTCCCTCCCTTCCCTCCCACCCGTCCGCGTCCGTCCGACTCGAGGATTGTGTTTCTGCGTTCGGCTTCGGGTTCCTGTTGCTTCCTTCATTAAACTCGCATGGGAGCATGGGATGGATGGATTGGTCGAACGCCAATCCCTCGGGAGTTCGGGTGCGTGTGTTGCGTTTAACCTGGGCAGCGGGACTCACTCGATTACTCAACTCATGCAAGATCCGTCCTAAGCTATCGTGCGCGTACCTCGATGAAAGGAGAGGAACGGAGCTTGGGTTCGGGTTCATATTCGGTGGACGCGTATTTACGCGTTTTCACATGTAGACACATATATACGTATCAAAGTCGAACGTCCAAGCCCAAGCCCCAAGCCCCAAGCCCAAGCGGTTCGTGTATAGTAGCCTAAGCTGGGGAGAGGTCTCGATTCTCGACTGGCAGTTAACATTCATTGCTCTAATCGACTACATACATACGGCGATGAACATTCTACCGTCTACACACGAGGAGGGGGGGGGCCTCGGTCATGATCAACTCCGCAGTCCTGGTCCTAGTCCGACAGTCCGCAGTCGTCCAAGTACACTTTCGCTGAATCCTCTCTCCCTTATAGTCTGAGTGAGGCTCAGAGATGAAGAAGAAAACGGTGATTAAGTTCAAGCCAAGTACTCTCACACCCCCCCTCCCCATCAGATAAAAAAGAGGTTCAACGTGTCTCGCTATCGCTTTTCGCAACATACCAGACCTACCAGCGTGAACATCGCAGTCCCTTCGCTAAATCCTCTATCCCTTATAGCCTGAGTCTGAGGCTCAGAGAAGAAGAAGAGAAAAAACGGTGATTAAGATTAAGCCAAGTTCTCTCACCCATCAGAGTTCAACGTGTCTCGGTGTCGCTTTTCGCAACATACCAGACTCCAGACGGAACATACAGCGTCCCCGGCCCCCCCCCCTCTGTCACTGTGTGGCTTTAGGAGTTTTGGTGGCTCTCTTTCCCCGCATCATGCATCATAATACCAGACTCAAGACTCAAGCAAGTCTAATTACCCCACATTCCGATTCCGATTCCGAGAACCGAATCTTTTTCGCGGGCTGCGGGGCTGTGCTTTTCGCCACTGTGGTGATGATCCTCTTCCAGCTCGGCTTGGGGAAGCTGAGGAGAAAGGAGAAAGGTCAGCTGGGTAGACAAATCCGTAAACCGAGCCGGGGCGACGAAAAAGCTGTTGCCTGTTTTCCTTTAATTCCTTTAGCTGTAGATGTGAAAAAGGTAAGCAACCGGCGGTAAGAAGTC